TTTTAAACGAACTCAGTTTTTATATTGAACACAATTTGAACGGAATTTTTCGATCATAAAATTTTGGATGAAAAATTTTTTTCAATTATTTATATCTATTATATATTATTATACGGTGCGGGTTTCATATTGAGGGATATATATGCAACGTGTCGTGCGGCTTGTGTGCATTATGCGATTACAAGTTTCATAATTTTAGATTGCGGCGTGTATTACATTAATACCGAGTTCAACCCTTTCGGTCCTCCCATGTGGTTGGCTTGATTAATTTTCTCTGTTAAGAGCTTAGATTGATCCCGCGAGACATTTTAACGTTTAAGACACTAATTGCACATATGCGTGTGTCAGACGGAAATTAAATTAAATATATTATCTGATGTGTAACGTCAAACTATATATTTTGCAAAATTTCCAAAGTTTTGAAACTTGAAATACACTCTCTTTGACATTAAATATTGCCAATTACATATACTTTCAAGAAAGAAGAGCTCGACGTAGGTGAAATAAGATCCGATAATAAATTGCCGACGTCTTCCTCCCCTAGCTAGTACGATAAACGTTGCAAGTTTTATTACGCTTGATATCAATTCCGCGCATATGCATTATGTATACATAACAACGTAATGTGACGAGGGGTTGACGCCATAGTTTTATAAAGCGAAAACTTTCAACTTATATAGAGTTATATATTGTCGCGCATCGTTTATTATGCGCGGATTTTATTCTTATATTTCAACATTTATACACTGAAAAGAAAATTACTCGACTAAACCTTCTAACTAAATTACTATTTTGGTAAATGAACATTTATTAGGTCAAATACATGTTTTATATATATATATTTAGATTTAATATATTATATAATATATTATTTAATTTAATATATATTATTTTTTTAATATATTATTTAATTTAAATAGAATTTTTATATGTTCAATTAACAAAATATTATTTAGTTGAATGGTTTAGTCAAGTTAATAATTTTTCAGTGTATTACGTCTTTTTTTAGGGAAAGTGTGTCAATACTAAATAAATGCAAATATAATTCGAAACGTGATCCATTAGTCACTTTCACACACATTTATAGATACGCTGCTTCAAATTAGAAAAAAGTTTGAATTATTGCTAGGGCTTGGAGCTTTTTTATGGCAGATAACAAGCTTAACTTTCACAGTTGTCTATTGTGCGAAGGGAGGTTTTCTTAATGATATTATCCGGCGTCGCATTGCGTCAATGTGATATCGGTAGACTTTCGAGCACTTTGATTACAATGACTTTCCATTAGAAGTATAGAGTCGATGGAACTCAAATCTGATTACGCGATGGAAAAGCATCGTAAAGAGATTTCACTTTATTATATACGAAGAGTTATACAAAAATATACGTTATTTTAAAAACTATTCGTCTTTGTAAACTTAGAATTCTATCGAAAAGATTCCAGAATAGGGTGCTGTAAAATAAAAATAACTTCATGATAAAGGAATGAACTTTGATAATAAATTAAAAGATTCAGTTCATTACGTTTGCTCTTATTAAACTGAAATGGGTATTTAAAAGAATTACTTAAAATGATTTAATCAAATTAAATAAATATTTAAACAATTTTACTTTTAGAAATATATTCGAATCTAATAATATCGCGGAACAATTCCACTTTATTTGACGATAAATTCGATATAATGTAAGTTAAACATTAACACAATGAAACACTTTGGGAGTTCTATCTTTGTCTCGATATAAAAACAAAACTGACGTGAATCGATAAAAACTAGATAAAAATGTCCTTTATTTTTCGAACATTTGTCTTTTATAGATCACTAATAAATGAAGCAATAGAAATATCGTATATGTTAATTGACGATCGGTCTTATGCTTTGACTATACAAATATGCAATTCATCACTTCGTCACTCGACTTTTACGATACGGTTAACGAAATTAAACGATTCGTCTTAACAGTATTAATATGCTGTGGTATTATTGATTTATCAATAACGTGTAACACATGTAATTTTGCTAATAGTACCGTCATTATCGACTATTAAATATCGTTAAAGTTATTGTGGTCATTTGCCACGTTCATAAACCGCGAAAATCCTATGTGGCGTTTATTCTATTATATTCTATTATATTGTTAACTATACAAAGCGTATATACATATGTTTCGACAAAGAGGAATACAACACAAAGAGAATTTTACCATCTCTTTGAAAATGTGAAACGCTCTATGATCTCGATAAAAAAGTATAAATATAATAAAAATACAGATTAAACAAAGAATATGTTATAACCAAGTATTGCATAATACATATTATTTACAACTGCACAATTTTATTGTGATTTTCTTTCTCTCTTTATGTCCTCTTGTTACAGAGTATGGAAATTTCAAATATGAATTTTTTTAAATCCTAAATATTTGTTCTACATTGTATGGCTTTTTTAAAATAGAATAGCTCAAATATATATATAATTCGTCGCATCAGATAGATTTTATTCTATCGAATGATATATTCCATTTGTACAAATACATCACACCAATATCGATATTGTATTGTAACGATATTACGTAGTTTTCACGCCATGTGTTTTTCACACACCCCCACACACCCACACACATATATATACATATATGTATATATGTCATGACAATCGAAATTGTAACGCATCTGGTAGCAATTCACATTACTTTCAAGTATTTAATTTCCTTTTTAATTAACACTTGATTCATACTAACATTACCTTCGTAATTACCACTTCATTAAAAATAAATTGAAACTTTTAATAATCTTGTTATTTTCAAATATACGATTTTTATGGAATATCCTCGATTCAATTTTTATTTACGCAATTCGCGGTTTTCGATTATTTAAATTTGAAAGTAAAATGTAAAAAAATGTGACGAAATTTTTTTTAAGTTCTCTCGATATTCCCTATCTTTTGTGAATTCCTTGTATATGCAAAACTACGTATATAACTGCGCATCGGAGAAGCTGCCATCGGGGCCGCTTTTTTTCCCTTTACAATAGAAAGTTCACGCGACGCAATATCAGCGTGGAATGTCGCCTCGTTGTTCTTTAGGTCGCGTATAGTCATCCAACATTATTACTCCCATTTCCCGCTCGTTATCGTGATGAAAGTGAATTATTTAGCTAGTCGCTAATTAATTAGTACCATCGGGGGAGCAGCGACTGCTGACTCTCATCGCGATATAATTTCCCAGGTCTCGGCTGCGTGGGATAATTATACCTGCGGATCTGTATTTCCGTCGCGTCTTCGAAACTTTTTGCTGCGTTATAATCAATTTTTTTTCCGTCAACAAAGCCGGCTAGCATCAGCATCGATCGCCAGCTACCAGAAACGCGCGATACCAGAGATACCGCACAGGTATATGTATGTACAACACGGATAAAAGTGATGTATAAAAAAAAGAGTATATAAATTTTTTTTGTAAAAAGAAATCGTGCGCAACGTTGTACAAAACATCGTCGCAACATCCATAAAAAAATATATAACATAAACGTAGCGTTGAAAATTGTTTTCGCGGTTCTCGAGAGGATATGATATATATTGTAGATGTAGCAATTAAAAATTTCATTGAGGTAATTAGAGTTGACCTTCTCTTTTTTTCTGTATCGAGACACGCGAATAACGCAGTGTTTCCGTCACTCATTACACGACGTGGAAAATTATGAATGTCTCGCGCGCGAAATAATCATCGTTCCCGATAATAGTAGCGATTGCACTCTTTCTCTTTTGCATAAAATTGCAAGCTACCGGTATATATTTTGCAGAGTAAAAGAGGGACAATAGATAGCGATTTACAGGCGATGTAAATGCGATATAAAGTTGTATCTATATATCTGTGCACACACGGGTGAATTTATCGTGTGTACCTATGCAACTATATCGTCTGATTCGCGCGGACAGGCATTAATATACACCCTTGCAGAAATGCGTGCGTATGCAAATCGCGTGTCATTATATATTGCCTGTTCTATTTATATAGGAAATAGCGTGTGTTTATATATTAAACTCGTCTTGTGTGCATCGAGCATAGTTTCAACGGGAGAAATGCTGTTTAGGGACATTAAAATTGCATTCTCTCCTGCACGATCGATGCGCGATGCCTCTCATGCGAATTAGATGCTAACAATAAGTGTCGCAAAGCTACTCCGATTACTCTTAAGCTGACATACGCGATTTTAGCTCACGTGACTCGCTCGTATTTCCATTATCGTGTTCGTCATCATTCATCATATAACAAATCAAAAGTACAAGAATCATGTAAAAATGATCCTATAAAATTCTTAATTGATACAATTTTATGTCATTTTTTGAAAGACATACGGCGCTCTAAATTATTACACGCGGAGAGAATTTTTTCTTAAAATTTACTATGAAAATCATAGGACAATATGATATTGAAAGAACACAATAAAAAATATTAATATGTATATAGTAAAATTAATCAAACATATTTTTATATCGTATTGTGGTAGATATTAATATTTTTATTTATGGTAAGTATTAATCAGAGAAATTCTTATAAAATTCTTCCAATATCATAATGTCTCATGATTACCATGATTTTCAGGGTAAATTCTAAGAGAAAAAATTCTCTCTGTGTACGAATAATTTTTGTGTATATCATTCTATAGTACATAAATAATTATTTTATTACAAAATAGCGCAATTTTTGCTAAATAAGTCTTTTTTTATCCTGAACTGCAGTGTATGAACTCTATCCTTCGAGATCGCGCGATATTAATGTATTATAGTAGGAAGAAAATATTCAAGCTTTAGGTATATCAATAGATCCATAGAATCGTGATGTGTCTGTAAAGTTGAAGCGAACGATCGCAAAAATTCTGGTTTTATCTCTCAGGCAACCTTCCGATATAAGCCGCTGCGGGATATTCGCACACTTTTGCGGCCGCAAAAGAGTCGAGGTAAAATGAAATCTCCGGTAATAAAGCCAGGCTCTCCTTCTCTCTGTTGCAGCGCCGACAATGAGAAAAGTCATGTAATTCCACGAAGAGTTTAGCGCAGAGAAATTCGGCGTCGCGAAGAAAAATCAATCAAACTTGAAGTCTCTCTCGTCCGAAGATCTAAATCGCGAGTTTGGTCGCGTGGAAGAGACTGGGTGATGAGCAGCTCGTGGTACAAGCGGAGGACTGCCGTCGTTGAAAGATGTTTCGCTTCAAGATTCGCATTCACACATGTCAAGTGATACTGCTGACGTCCCTGGTATGGTTCCTGATCGACGTTATAGTGCTCATGTTCTATTCGGACTGCATCGGAGGGTCCGGATGGAACTGTCCGGACAACAAGCAGCAACAGTCCGCGCTTCTGTCCGAGGAGCCATTACATCCGAAGATCCCGGTCGGCGAGGCGCAGGCGTTGTTGAAGCACGAGTACCAAGTCGGTACCAAGAGACAGTATTCGCAGAATAAGTTGCACGTATGGCGACCTGCAAGGGTCGTCAAGGAGACTAAGGGCAGCCCCGGTGAGATGGGAGCTGCGGTGCACATCGCCCCGGAGAACGAGGCCAAGCAGCAAGAACTGTTCAAGCTGAATCAGTTCAACCTGATGGCCAGCGACATGATCTCCTTGAACCGATCCCTGAAGGACATCAGACTCGAGGGTTGTAAGAGTAAGAAGCATCCCAAGTATCTTCCGGATACGAGTATCGTGATAGTTTTCCACAACGAGGCGTGGACCACTCTGCTGAGGACAGTCTGGTCTGTGATTAACAGGTCTCCTAGATCGCTGCTGAAGGAGATCATCCTCGTGGACGACGCGAGTGAACGAGGTACTTGTCAATTGTATATTATGTTTTACAACAAACGATGTTGACGTAGGAGTACATTTAAAGTAACGCGAATATAAATATATGTTGCTCATCATTTTGTTTTTTTTTTAAATTGATGGGATGAAACCCTTTTACTTTTCAGAACATCTAAAGCAAGACCTAGAGGACTATATAACCACCCTACCTGTTCCTACGTATGTGTATCGCACCGAAAAGAGGTCGGGCCTGATAAGGGCGAGGCTTTTAGGGGCGAAACATGTCAAGGGACAAGTAATCACATTTCTAGACGCACACTGCGAGTGCACCGAGGGTTGGTTGGAGCCGTTACTCGCAAGAATTGCTAATGATAGGCACACTGTTGTCTGTCCGATTATAGACGTTATCAGCGACGATACCTTCGAATACATCCCAGCCAGCGACATGACGTGGGGTGGTTTCAATTGGAAATTAAACTTTAGATGGTATTGTATCTCTGGAATTCTAATAATAGCATTACGTTCTAATTTTGATCGAACCAGTTCAATCTCTCTCGCCCCCTTAAACAGACGAAGGAAATTTGAGTTGCAAATGTGGGAATCTACATATTTTGCATGCAATGAATAACGAGATTAATATATAGTTATAAAGCTATGTGAGGAAGAAGACCAAATCTATTGATTGTATCTGATATATATATATATATATATATATATATATATATATATATATGTATGTGTTTGTTAGATTATGATTTATAAATTTCATATTTTTTGAATTGTCACGTTCGTAAATTCGCTAAATTTTATTCTATTAATTTAATTACACTTAATGAGTTAATTATAATGAGTTTAAAATGTAATCAATAACAGCTTTTCTCTCTTTCTTTCTCATCTATTCATGTATAATACAAACTGTTGAATTTATTACGATTTCACCGCGAACACATATATACACACATTACTATGTACTATTGTTTAATTAAATTTGTAATTTCGGTTAAAATAAATCAATCTCTCAAATTGTATACATTAATTAGTATAGCATTTTATGCGTATATGTGCATAGTATATAATTTTTCCACTTTTAACGCTATCTTATCTTTTACTCAATAAGGTATAGAGTCGCACAGAGAGAGATGGACAGAAGAAACGGCGACAGAACAGCACCGCTACGAACACCAACTATGGCCGGCGGATTATTCTCCATTGATAAGGAATACTTCTACGAATTGGGCGCGTACGACGAAGGCATGGACATTTGGGGCGGCGAAAACCTTGAAATGAGTTTCCGGGTAAGATATCCTTTCTTGAGATATGATAAGAATAACTTATCGATTCGACATAAATTATCTACAAAAATTTTACACGCAATATTCATGAATCTAAATTGAACAGAATATTGTAATGAATAAATTAATATATAATCCAAGATTATATATTAATTTCATGCATATATTTATTTGATAAATGTACCTGTATAATCCAAGTTGCTGATTTTTCGCGTCAATACAATGATTATGTTAATAACTTTATTCGAAAATTAATTTATAGAGATTTTGATTTTGCAAGAAATGAATTGTTTTTAGTATTTATATTGATAATTCATTCTTTTATTATAAATATATAACTGATGTATATAACATGAAGTGCGTTTTGAAAAGGCCGAAAGTTTGAAAGGGTATCCTCGCAGAATAAATTTCCGGTGTCATTTGTAAAATTGTAAGTGCATTATAGGTATGGCAATGTGGTGGAACATTAGAAATCAGCTCGTGCTCTCATGTGGGGCATGTATTCCGGGACAAGAGTCCGTATACATTCCCCGGCGGTGTCAGCAAGATAGTCCTGCACAATGCGGCCAGGGTGGCCGAGGTCTGGATGGATGAGTGGAGAGATTTTTACTATGCCATGAATCCAGGTTAGATAATCAAGTGTATCGTTTAATTAATTTCTGCAATGTTATTGTTACTAGAGCGCTGCGCTAAATGATGCCATCGTTGTGCACATCAATATCAGAATCTAAATATGCCGTAATACGAGAATTTTGCAAAATTATTTGATACATTTTTCAATACACATCCTATAATTTACATAAAAATATTTAAAAAACCAATTCTCGAGCATCGCGAAAGGGGTAGTTTTTCGTTTATATTTCGAAATTTCTATACAGCTGGTGTTCATGTAGCGCTTATGCCGAAAGCAAGGATGTTACTTGATAAAGCATCTATTAAAATTGTAGTATTCTTTACATAACAAGTGAAACTACATCACACATATATTTGACGGGTATCTGATACAAAAGCCGTTTATATACATTGAAATATTATAATTCATATACAGCTATTATGTGACTTGCAGTTGTTTTTGAATGCATTGTTTCCTTGTTAACAAGTTGTTTCTCTCCATTTGACTAATATAATTAATATAGCAGTCTTGCGTTGATACATATTTTTATAAAATAGTATTTAACACATAATTATACATATACACAAAGATATACCATCAATTAGTTAACCATTTTCTCTATATGTGTCATGCACATTATGATTTATGTATATGTGTGTATTTACTAATATATTTCATATATATATATATAACATCAGTAGTTGTATACGTTACGTCGCTAATATCTAAACTAAAATTAAGATCTTCAACTATAATAATTATCCTCAGTAGGAAAAAATCAACCGATTATTACCGTCAAGATACTTAATTCCACTCTCACAATTGCATCTTTAACCGACTAAGCAATATAAATACTATAATTTCTACGATGTGAAATTAATAGGGATACGCCGCAGGCACTAAACATGGACATTCACTGAAACGTGAATCTTTCAGAGATATTTTTGTTTCTGTATCTCTCGATACAAATGCTGGTGTAGTCTTAACCACTCATCCATCCAGCCGACTAACCGATCGAAAGAATTGCGCTTGCTTTGAATCGAATCCTCTTGTCTAAACTACGTTATAGGTATATATAGGTCGCAAGAAGAGAGTTACCAATCCACCAGCCATATGAGTCGCAGAATTCAGATATACATTTGCGATATACATGTTGCCATTTTTTTTCTTCTTTTTTCCCCTTTCTCTTATCGTGTTACCTATCATTGTGATCGCTAACACACTAACAGAATTGAGTTGGTTAGATATGGATGTGTGGTGGGACATTGGAAATTGCGACATGCTCGCACGTTGGGCACGTATTCCGTAAATCGACCCCGTATACCTTCCCGGGCGGTACCAGCAAGATAGTCAACCACAACAATGCGCGGCTCGCGGAAGTTTGGTTGGACCAATGGAAGTACTTCTATTACAACATTAATCCAGGTAGCACTAACACATCTTGGCGTACTAAAAAAAAAAAAAAAAAAAAAAAAACTATATTTATCGCTAAGAGCATCCCTTTATACTGTTATTCTTACTGTATTGGTTGCTTTGCGATGCGCATGATTCCACGATTCGGAAGGTCTGCATGTCTCTCCTATTATTTTTTATTATTAATTCTCGCAGTTACGGGTGCTTGCTGTCTCTCTCTCTGTCTCTCTTTTTCTATCAGATACCCGTTAACATTTATTTGAAACATCATTGCTGTTTATGTTTAACTATAAATATATTATTTATTAATGTGTCGGATATAACAGAGGTACGAACGATAGATGAACGAGCCATGATAAATGAGATATTTAGAAGTTTTATACTTCGAGCAAGATGTAAGTCACGCATGGCATTGAGAGTTTCACACTGTGAGACGATTTGATGATTGGAAAAAATATTTTTAAAGTCACAAAACAATTTTTTGACGAAGCACAATACATCTCTCTCTGTGCACGCTGCATTTTTACACATGTACAAAATAGTTATTGCATATATAAATCAATGCTACTTTATAAACTTCTTTACACCTTTCAGATTTCCAGAAAAAGCGCTGCATAATTGCACACATTATTTTTTTTAGGAGCATTAATTACCACAACAAATTTCTTTATTTTAGCACAAAATTCTGTGATCTTTTTTTTTTTTAATTCGAATTTATCATATACAGGGTTTGTCCGGAAAGTAATGCGTCGCATTTTTTTGTGACGCGACTATACATCGCAGAGCGATGGGACCGGTTGGGGAGGAAGGGGGGTACCCTTAGCTTTCCAACGGTAGGTCGCTCAATTGTTTCCATGCGCTTGGAGGGTTAGGACGGCTTATTCTGTGAACCTCTGCTTAGTGGTCGCGTCGAACTTGTGATGGAGAGAACGATAGAGCAACGCTATGCGATAAAGTTTTGCGTGAAGCTGGACAAGACGCCGCTGGAAACTTTTGAAATGCTCAAGAAAGTTTTCGGGGACGATTGCCTTTCCAAATCGCAGTCAAACAGATGGCACAAGATGTTTAGAGAAGGTCGGAAGGAGGTCGCCGACGAGGCCCGCGCAGGACGCCCGTCAACATCGCGAACGGACGACAATGTGACTCGTGTGCGCCAATTATTGAATTCAGACCGTCGAATGAATGTTCGCTTAATGTCGGAATTATTGAACTTGCCGAAAACGATTGTTCACGAGATTGTATCGGAAGACTTGGCCATGCGGAAGATTTGCGCAAAACTTGTGCCCAGAGTGTTGACCGATGCGCAAAAGCAACACCGAGTGGAAGTTTGTGAAGAACTCAAGCAACTCTGTGCAGATAATCCCAATTTCCTGAACAACGTTATCACTGGGGATGAGTCATGGGTCTTTCAGTACGATCCGGAGTCAAAGAGGCAGAGTGCGGAATGGCACACGACGTACAAGCTACTTCGACGGCCTCCCTGAACAGCATCCCAGTCAAGGAGTTCCAGAAATCTTATGACGCATGGAAATCGCGTTGGCAAAAATGTATTGACGCAGAAGGGTCATACTTCGAACAATTTTAAGTTGTTTTACCTATGCGATCAATAAATTCTTTTTTAAAAAAATGCGACGCATTACTTTCCGGACAAACCCTGTATGCATAATGTAAAGATATGTGTAAATATGTCTTTTTCTGGTTTCTTATTATGGTATTACAGAAAGTTTCAATTTTTTTTGTAGGGGCGCGAAACGTCGACGTCGGCGACGTCTCCGAACGGGTAAAGCTCAGAGAACGACTAAAGTGCAAGAGCTTCAGATGGTATTTGGAGAACATATATCCGGAATCGCCGATGCCGCTAGATTATTACTATCTCGGCGATGTGAAGAATGTTGAGACGCAAACTTGTTTGGATACTATGGGTAGGAGAACCGGAGAGAATGTCGGAATTAGTTATTGTCATGGATTAGGTGGTAATCAGGTAAATATTTTATCTCTTTGACGAACTGAAATATTATGGAAATCGATGTTACTTCTACGCGGAATATTATCTCTAAAGAAAACTTATCGTTATCTAGGTATTTGCGTATACTAAGCGGCAACAGATAATGTCCGACGATATGTGCCTTGATGCAGCTAGTCCACAAGGTCCTGTAAAGATTGTGCGATGTCATGGCATGGGTGGTAATCAAGCATGGGTTTACAATGACGAGGTAAGAAAGTGAAATTATATGTCAAAAGAAAGATACCTGAAACTATTATGTGAAACATCGTTTTTTTTTGCAGACCAAAATGATTAGACATACAAATACAGGTCATTGCTTGTCGAAACCTCATTCAGGCGACGCGTCACAACCCGTCTTGGCGCAGTGCGATGTCAATAACATCGGCCAAAAATGGATCATGCGTAGCAAATTCAAATGGCAAGCTAGCTAATACGAATTGACTCTAAACGTCACTTCTATACGCAATAATTGTTAATATATTTAAGAAATGATAACCGAAGAAAAATAGACTTGGCGCGAAGAATCTTCGTAAGTGCGCACCTAGATCCAAGTATTACAAGTGGCTGAAGAAACAAGTTCAGTATCACGCCTAATTGCAATTGAAATGTGTGCATCGAATGGAATTGACAGTGCGCGTGGAATCGCTAGTAATTGATTGATTCAATTCTATAGGATCTATTCGTTATTGATAGAACAGTATCGAGAATTTACTGCCATTCTTCGTGTATGGCACAGTCCTTAAGAGACGGCTTGTTCAATACACACAAGAGTGACAGAAACGAACTTTTTTGACCACGTGTAGACACGAGTGTGGACTAAACGATGAAACAAAGTGAACGTTTTGTTCTTCTTTCCTGACTAAGAGAAGCAGTAGAGAAGAAAGCATATCAGATCACACTGTTATAAATAAAATAAGGTAAATAATTGTTAATACAGAAGAGACATATTTGATAATTTCAGATGAGTGCAATGACGGATGATTGATTGACCATTAGATCAGTGCGCAATAATGAAATGTGAATATTCTAGAAATGCATCGCGAAACAATGACGGAGTGAATGCTGGAATGCTAATGAAATCAATGTGACGCTATCGATAATAATATAGAAATTATTATTGTATAATCCATTTAATAACTAGGAAAGAGCACTGAATCTTTTTATATTCATGTTTCTAATAGTTCCTCCTCGTTGCATCTCGTTCATATAATTTAATTGTTACGCGTCGTTTCGCGCAAAGAATGTACTTATCCGGACTTTTTACGGCAATATACAGAGAATCCTTCCATCAAGTTTTAGTTAGATGCATGCGATTATTAATTGTCATTCATTACAGAGACGTAATGCAATTTTTTAATGTACAAAGTGTCTTCCATGATTAACGATAACAAGCGAATATTTTTTCTGCGGTATAAACAGATATAGCGCACACAACATTGCGAATTATATGTTAAACTATTTCCTTAGACGATGTTTGATTTGCAAAAATAAATATTCGATGAAAAATTACGCTTAAAAAGAAAATAATTTTAGACACTTGTGTCATGTAAAAATTAACTGACAAAAAATCAGTTTCTGTTTCAAATTCTAGTATTTTCGTTTTTGACATCAAGTTTTGTATTTTTTTTGTCTTTCCAACAATTATAGAAATTAATTTTTTTCGCTATATTAAAAGATTCTTAAATTTATATTTCTTTAAAACAAGTATTTAACAAATTTTCACTCTTGTGAATAACTTCCAACACGACTTTAAAAGAGACTTCCTTTATAAATGCGATTGAATGACAAATATACTCATTATTCTTATGTAATCCAAAAGAATGTTATGGTGATGGTGCAACGTTAATAGCTTGACATTTGTCTTCTAAGACTGTGGTATTTATTTTTGTATAAAACACAAATTGAGACTTATATGTTAAAATAAGTGATGTTATAGTCCACTTTATAGATGATCTATAAAATATCCGTTCGTGATCGAGAAAAATGGTAGTCAATAGTACCTTCTTGCAAATACGTCATTCCTTAAAGGCTAGTTGATTTCGCTTTACAAAGAATGCTACTATTAATGAATAAAACTGCTAATGAACAATTTCCATTTTAATCATTTGCTCAACGAATAATGATGTCTCTAGCTTCACAGTTCAAACATGATATAAAATGTCAACTATTATTATAATAGTATGAACTGTGTAAGCATAATCTTTTGAAGACAATAAATTACTTGTATATTCTATTCAGTTTAAACATTATACATATTATAACACTAGTATGATTTATAAAACATTTTTATGATAGATAAAATTTGTAAAAATGAATATATATTACTATTTAAATCCAACTTTTGTTTCATTTTTTTAGAATGTAATTTATAAGATTGGCTAACACAGAGAAATATGTTCTTCAAATTAATTTGTTTATAATTGTTAAAATGGAATACCATATAAATATTCTATAAAATTTATAAGATAAGCATATAAGGATCGATATGATAATAACTTGTTAGAATAAATAATTAATTTCGTTATCTGAAAACATCGTTGATATCGTTATTTCAATATTTATAATTTCCGTTCAATAAATGGACTAGTTTATTGTAATTTTTAATACCACACCCATATTTAAAACTGTTTCTTAAAATTTATTTAAAAAACTATCTAACAATTTTTGTTCTATAAAGAATGAATCAATAAAGAATAATGCAGCAAAAATAATTTGTTTTTATGTGTACAGGCAATACATCTAATGTAAGAAGCCTAACAATTAGAGTTGTCATTTTAATGAAATATAACAATCAATTTGTCATTGTGTAAATATACACTAAAAATAACTGGTTTGCATTAAATAAAACAAATCCACAGTAAATATTGACAAAGATATTTATTAGATATATTTACTGTTCTTTAACTTCACGTAATCGACGTACTGCTGATCTTACTGAGGCAGCAGCTGTCGTGGAATACACCCATGCGCCACCAGCAACTGTCCTCTTGCAACGTTTGCACGACCAGATTCCTACAACACTGCGTTTCATTGCCTCCTGTCAAAAACAAAAGCAACTAATTAATACGGTTTGATTCCTCTCACACTTCACTTATTGCCAATCACCATATAATATTATAAAACATCCATGAGATATTGATAAAATAAAATGTATAGTAAAAGCATCGCTTCATAAAATCTTAATTTTAAAAGGTATCGCACAAACATTATTTGAAACTATATTTTCCTTCAGATATTTTATTTAGCATTAATAAACAAAAATTACTTACTTTGCCACAAAACGAGCAGGTGTATTTGCTGTGCTGTGTGATTTCCATTTTCTTCACCATTTCCTAAGGGAGGCACCATAACGGGTGCCATATTTACCGGTGATTCCGACCTTCTTCGTACGCTTGGCCTGTTAAAAAAATCAAACAATTGTAAAATAATTTGCTAAAAATGTAACTTTGACAATATTCAATTTCGATGTAAGATAGCTTCCAAAACATAACCTCGTTACAAGATTACATGTACAATCACGTGAGGTTATCATCCCTTATAATGAAATATATACGTCAAAAATTTCTCGTAAACAATTATTTTAAATTCGGTGATCAATATTATACACATTTTAATAAGATTCGGTATATAAAATTCGATGAAATTCCTCACCATTTTGAACAGACGAAAGACACTTTCGCAAAGAACCGGAAAAAGAGCGAGAATGGCGGAGATAGCGCTAATGTCGACACTGGAAGTGTCGGAAGTTTGCCGAGAGGAAATGAGTCTGACGTCATCTAATTCAAATAAACGCGGGAAAAGCTTGACAGCTTTGAAATTAATTGATTGAACATTTTCCAATTATATATCAGTCATGTGTGAAAATTTTAAACAATATTTTATTTAATATAAATTGCATTATTTTCCAAAAAATACAATATTACGTATATTCTAATCTGACTATTAAAAATATAATTGAAACTTATATATATAAATATATTGCACAATAAAGTGAAATATGTAATGAAATTATTATAGTATATATATAATATAATAATCCTCTTTTCAATATATACATATATTTTTTTGTTTTCCTATTTGTTATAATATATTAAAAAATTCTATAATTATTTTTAAACTAAAAAAAGGAATTATTTATACAGTTTATTCTTTATTTTTAAGACACACTCTGTGAATGATAAAAATCAATTGAGATTACACATCATCAGATTATATATATATATATATAGATACATATATGTTTGTAAACATGGAAATAAATGCTCCTCATTAATTTAATTTCACATTCAACCTGATAAAATCATCAACATCATCAAATTCTCAACAAATTACCTAATAATACAGGAACGTATACATATAAAAAATCATACACGCGTAAAAATATTTAATTAAAATTAAAAATATATATATATATATATATTTATATTATTAAATATTCATTTTCATTCAATTTATTTCTAAAATTACTCCTTTATATCATTTAAAAATACAATTTGTAAATACACAAATTGCAACATAAGAAAATTCTATTATTCATCCCTGGGGCGCGGCGATAGAAGGAGAGAGACAGCGAGAAAGAGGGAAAAAGAGGGAATGAGAGAGTGGAAAGGAACCGGCCCCTCTGAATGACGTAGCGGTCAGGCCAAGCAGAAGCAGCAGGAGAGAGCCCGGACTTAGGCCGGCCCGTCTCTCATTAAATCAGTGTGTTACGCGTCAGCGTCTAAGCTAGTGCGATCGGCTAATAACGGTCCTTAGGCATCCAGGAGCGACCGGTTGTTGGTATTCGGCTGCAGCAAAAGAGAGGGAGAGAGAGAATAATCTACGGTGAACTTCCGTACGTCCGATCGCTAATCGGATCGGAGGACAGACAGAGAGAATTTAATTACGTCGTCTATACGTCGTCGTCTCCCAGGCAGCCAGCCAGCCAGCCGGTGGAACAACCAACGATGGTCGTGAAGATCTACATATCGGGTATCAGCGGTAACAAGGAAGTGAGTTTCGGCGATAAGATACGATATCGAGGGACTTCTCGATGTCAGGATGCCGCGACATCCCCTCGGCTTCGACCTGACATCGCGCGCGCCAGATCAGTCGTCGTCCCTGTATCAGGTTACAAATAGCGCGTATTAATGATCGGGAGACTGTCATTTGGGATGCGATGCGCTCTTGAATCGGTTCCGATGGTTATCGCTTTTCTCGACAATGGACGACAATTCGATGGTGTCAGGCGGACTTTATTAACAGCTGATCGTGCACGGGCCTCGTCCGGGTTTATTTCGATCAAAGTTGGAGCAACGAGTTGAATTTGTTGTGCATATTTTAGCCTGATGTGTGCTGGCAAAATGAATCTCTTCCGCGTGATTATGATGTCTCTTGAGTCTTAATTCTTTTAATATTAATTGCAAATATTTGTTGATATAATGTTAATTATCATTGTGACAATTATATTATTCTTAAAAAGTTAATATTTTATAAAAATAGATATAAAAAGTACAATGTAAAAAAAATTAGAACAGTAGTGTATGTAATTTTATCTTATAAACTTGATTGACATTAATTATCTCTGAGTATATTATGTATATAAATGCAGGTTGCAAGTTATGATATTTTTAATCGATTATAATAAATTCAAATAATTGCATATTTTATATAAATTAGTGAGACTCCAAAGTTTTTAATTATTTGATAAATGTGTTACAGGTAAAAAAGAGGCAACAACGTGTAACGATGATTCTAGATAGTAAAAATGTAGAATACGAGATCATTGATATAACAGAGCCGGGCAAGGAACTAGATAAAGAATTTATGCAAGCTAACAGTAATGCTAGAACCAACAAGTATCCATTGCCACCGCAAATATTTAATGAGGATGATTATTGCGGAGTAATGAGCCTTTCTATTTTTGTGCTGCTTACATTGCGATCTTATTTTCAAATATCATATTAATTCTCTAATTTTTCATTGTTCACATGCAATTAGAGCAAGCTTAATTGTCTAAATGAGATATGACATTTCTCATACACAATAACACATAACGAATTAAATTTTGCAGGATTATGAAGACTTTGATTTAGCAAACGAATTGGATGAATTGGAAAAGTTTTTGAAAGTGACACCGGCAATCAGCACTGCAGAAATCACTCTTGATTCAAAATCTCAAAATGCTGAAATTCAAGAGAATGGAAATACTTCAAGTCGAGAGGTAATAATACTCTTTTACTGGTTTAGAAGAGCTTTGTTAATTTGGTTTTCAATTATATATATTCCTTACATATATCTATATTTTTTCTTGGAGAGATTAAAAATTCAAACTGTAGATTGCCAAACAATAAACACATGACTAATTGCTAGAAATAGTAATTAATCATATATTTAATGTTTGACACATGTACAACACATATATGTTGACAAACTATTTTTTATACTTATGATTATATATCTTTCAAACGTAATTACATACACATACATATGATGAAAGATTTTTCTTCCTTATTTTTCTCTCTTTCTCTTTCTCTTGTTGTTCACTAGCCTTATGACTTTGCTACTAAATTTAGATTGTAATTTTTATACATATTTTCTAACACAACTGTTTCTTTTAGCCTTCTGCGGACAAAGAAGCAGATATAGTACTCTCTGATAGGTAACTGATATAATAATCAGATAATTATAATGTAAAAAAATATTAAACTTAAGTTAAAAATATATTAAACATTAATAGTTTATAATATCTTTTTTAGTTTACCAGAAAGAACAACTCTAGACAGCAACAACAAAGCCTTAGATGACTCTAAACCGACTGAAGCAGATAGCGCTGCAAAAATTATTACTAGTGATGAAGGTGAAAATGCTGAAGATAATGGGGATAAAAATGAAGAAAAATCCGACGACCAAGAAAAAGAGGAATAAGATACGCGAGATATACCCAAGTAAAGTTGGGATATATTCCATACATCCTTCCTTTTCCACCCGAGCGTATTTTGCAAAGCTACGTTTATTACATTACTAAGGCTGAATAAAGGTACTGCCAAGATAATATTCTGTATTATGGAAAGTCTGCTGAATGAACAGTACAAGTGACACGCATAGAGAACATACTTTTATAGGATATACTTTGTATTTTAGATCAAGCGCGTCTTCACACACCAATGTCTGTTTTGAAACAGAGGTTTGATTGGGTGATACAAAACACATACATCCTTAATATTGTTGTCTTTATACATGTTGTCTTCACCTTTATTGTTTATTATTTCATATTATTTCGCACACTGCTCCGCACCCAATATATTACAGCACTCTCGATAAAATTAAAGCAATTTTTTCTTTTTTTTTTCCCCATTAAGAATGCAACTTTTTAATTATTTTATTGCTAGCTGCGAAGCGTATAAATAAATATAGAAGATATAGCAACAAATGCATACACACGATATCATTTGAGATATACGAGGACAAATATACATATATATATTATATATCGAATTTTTTTATGTCTAAAAATATAATTAAATGTTACACAGGAAAAAATTTTGATATTTATATTATACATTTTTAAAAAATTTCAAAAATGTACAGTATTAAAGATAGTTTTGACTTGTTTGTTTTGAAATATTTGAATATTTCATTGCGTTAAACTAAAGATGGTCTTTCCAAATATGCTGTAAAAAGTCATTGATTTTCCTTAAAGTTATTATATATTACATGTGTATTAGAATTATATAGTTTTTAGGAAAAAAAGAACAAAAGGAGATTTCTAGATTTTTATAACTCAATTATAAATATCTATTTTTATTGTATAAATTTTTATTCGTACTTCTACTTATACATATGATGACAGAATGTACTAGTACATATGATTCATACTGGCATGACATAATTTCATTGATGCGCATGTGCATATGATTCATACTTACTATTCAATATCTACAATCTAATTTGTCTACCAAAATCTTTATTTTTAATTGATTAATTTTGTAATATTTAAAAGAGCTCTATTTTTAAAAAACCAAAAAATTGAAAATGTTTATAAGTTATATTGTAATATATAAAAGTTAACAAAAGAGAAAAAATTTCTTACAACTGCTCCTATTGGGACAAAACACAAATTTTTAATATGTGAAAAATCTTTTATTTATTTATATAAATTTAATTATTTATTTATAACGCAAAATGATATATATGATATAACTTCAAAAGTTTTAATATTTCCAAAACAGTTATTACTCTAAAATAGAACATGATAATAGTGGCAGTTGTAGCAATTGAGAGGCCTATTTAAATTATTTCTCTTTATTGTTTTAATGGCATATTTTCTTCCTGTACTAGACAAGATTAACATCTTGTGCAAATCTCTTATTGCTTATATATTGTTCAAAGGATATCATTGTCAAAAAAATTCAGCTTTATGCAATATTTGCTATACATACAAACTGCTTTGTTATAAATAAATGAAATAAAACATTATTTTTGCTATTAATTCTATTCTTCAACATGGGTACATTAAAATCATTAAATCTATTATTAATATCGTGTATAACGCATATAATTCATTGCAATCAAAGAAGGAGGATAATGATAAAGCTTTATTCCTTGTTAACATGTCTTTCTTATTACAAAGCTGGAGACGCAGTAACAATAAAGATTCAATATATTAATATTAAAATAAATTTTAAAATATTGCATTAGATATATATATATATATATAAATCATTAGATATAATCATATTTACAAAAATAATATTCATTATACATTATATGTGTATATAAATATATATATATGGATCACAGCGATCATTGTTACATACATACAAGAATTTACTAATAAATACAATTAAAACTGAAACTTCTATTTATATATCCTTAATCTATTCTAATCACTATATATCACAAAACCAAAATATATTCTCTGAGTATATGTTTTTCGATTAAGTCTATTTTTCATTGTCAAACATGGTAAGTACATAGATGATATTCAATTATATGTGCATGTTAGTCTATATAACAGGCCTACACAGATTTCTTTAAGCAGTATAAAAACTTACACAAAATATATTTCTTCTTGACATAAAATATCTAAAAATATTCTTTTTACACTTTCCCGAATTAAAACTAATATACTCGTATAGTCTGAGATTAATTTTGGTTAAAATTTATAATGTACATTTATTTTATAGAATGATTAAAAATTTACTAATTTTGATTGAGATTCAATGATACTAGATATAATTCCTCAATTATCTTTCTCTTGTATATTTGGTGTCTCCACTACGACACGAGTACAGCCTGAAAACAATAATTATAAATGTTTTTTTTTCATAATATATATTTGGCATATATATATATATATATATGTTTATATTTACAAAAAATCCTTTATATAATGAGAAAATTTGGCAACATTCGATTACACAATTCTTTATATATTGTTTTTATCACTAATAAAATATTTAACGTATCATTCATTATATATATTTATATTCTTCTTAATAGCATTACTTACATACACATTTTAATTATATAAAAAGAACTATTCAGGAAATGTTTTATATACATGAGAAATTTTTGACAAATAAATTTTTGACATAAGAAGTTTTCTGTCAACATTTTTATTACATGATAACTAAAATAAACTGATTAATTGTGATTGAAAATATTATAAACGTTGACAATAAAAAATTGAACAATTTACATAATTAATATAAAGCAGACTCATTAATAATTTAATTGTAATTAAGTTGTATCACATTAGGATGACAATAAAAATATAATAAAACATAACTGTACTACATATGTAAGCTCTCTTTCCGTACTAAAAATTTTTACAATTACAAATATAAAAAAATATATAAAAAAAAATAAAACGTAGTTTATTTTTACACACTTGCGTTTATTTTAGTTATATTATTCGATATATTAAGTAATTAATAATGTATGTGTACATATATATTTGTATTTATCAATATTTTTTCATACAATATATTTATTAAACAAATTTATTGTTGAAATGCGAAAGATAATAGACAATAAACTTATGATTTAAATAGTATGAATATAATACATCATTTCCAATAACAGGAATTTACATTACATGAAGTGTTGGTCTTACTAGAATATTGCTGTAATTATTGAATGCAGCTTTTTCATAGGCACGTTATAAGGCATAGTTTAATAAAAATGTTTTATAGGCAATCTAGATTCTTTTAAGAATACATTCTTGAACGTATAATTTTTAAACAAAGATATTTTTTTCTTTAAAGTATTGTAAAATTTTAAACTTTTAAATAAACATATGATAATTATTACCTATAAAAAATTATACAAAATGTTGTTTATATTTTTTTTTAATTTGCATGTAAAAGCTGCATAGCCCATTTAATAGGCGTATCTATGTGTCATTTTGTTAATATCAAAGAGATTTATAAAGTTCTATACAATACTTTTTTCTTTCAGTTTTCAGTTATTGAATTGTAAATTGTATTTTGACTTCATAAATTGCATTCTACATATTGTTTACAGAATAGTTTTTAATGTATACCTATTGTACATATATCATTCTTTGCTCTTATCTGACATTACAAGAATAAACAATTAAGACTACCCAATCTCCCCAATCACATCAAAATCACTTCTATGGCATCAAGTAAATAAATAAATTACATAATGCACTATAATATTTAATTCTCTTCATAGTAAACATTAAAATGTACTATATTTTGTCTATATTAAACTATTGTAAATAATATTTGTACCCATTTCGACTAAAATGTACTAAGAAGAATCTGTATATAATGTATATAACTGTATATAATTAATACAAGTATCAATCTATACAAATATTCCATTAAAAATTACGTATAAAATGCAACAATCAAGAATGAATCAAAATTATTCGATTTTTAATATAAATATCGATATAAGCATCTCAGACTATATGTCTCTTTATTCCCTTTCACGTATACAGTGTATTTCTTTTTATAAGTTTTCAAAACATGCAGAAGTAAATTGTTAAATTATTATAATATTATATATTTAAGATGCATTGTTTTAATGCATTCTAAAATCACATTTCATATTATGCTTTTCTATAGACATTTATATTTATATTATCTAAACTGATTAATTTCTTACATGTCTCTGTAAGATATATGTAGCAAAAATAATACGTACAATGTGTTATTTTAAATATATGTGTAACATATAATAAGGTATTTTTTTTGACAACAATTAAATCAAATTGAGAGAAATTAATTGTCAATGTTATTTCAACTGAACTATACAAACCTGTAAAAAAACAAGTGCTCAATTAATTATGCATGTGTTGTTGAAAATTATGCTTTGTTATATAATTTAAAATTCATTAATACATATTAATTTTATTTTATATGAAATTTATATGCTAATATGCATACAAATGTAACTATAAAAATCTGATTTGATTGCAAAAAAAAAAAAAAAAAAAGAAAATGCTATGAATAACTTAAAAACATTATATATATATATATATGTTTTTTTTAATTAATATATGCTTTATAATTGATTTTTAGTCTTTTTTCTTTCTACATATTTATATATAAATATTGCACACATGTCATATATTGTGCACATAGAAAATTTGACATTACTTATGTATCATACAGTATTTATAAGTTTAATGTCAGTTAAAATTTTGTTCTCTCGAGTTCAGTCAAACGACTTTGAATTATGAAATAACTTTGATTATGAAATAACAAAAATAAAACAATTTTGAAAGTAAGTATTTGTTATAATGTCAAGCTCGTCTTAATTATTTATCTATCAAATTATTTTTACTTTTCACTGGGACGATGATTCTATGAATTTGTATTTATGAAATGCGTATATACGTATGTGTTTGTATATATATGCAATATATAGTAAATATTATCGCATATGATATTTAGTTTACTTCAAAGCAAGATAGTTTATGCAAATATTTAGTTTGACGTATGGCACATATAAAATTCATAATATTTCCATGTCTATTACAAAACACAAAGAGATTAGAAAAATTTGACGAAAAATTGTTGTCTGGTAAAAGAGATGTCATTGTAAAAATATTAGTTGTTTCATTTCGGTATTCTCAATAGATTCTAAGTACATTTAAATCAAATGTATTACTTACAGTCTTATCATACATAGAGAAAATCAAGAGAATGTTTACAGCTAGTAGATTGAAAACTTTACAATAGTCATAATATAAAATATAACAAAATTATAACAAAATTTAAATTCTTATATTAAACTACTGTGTCACTGAATTTCTATAAAAAGTATTGTTCTTATAATTTTCACAAAACAATTGATCAAGTTATTTATATAACAGACATACATACTAATAATATAATCTTAGATAAATGTATTTTTGAATTACAATATCCAAAAAATATCGACACTAAAATCAATTTAATTTGTTTCTTTTTTATAAAAAAATAGGCAAATAAACCCTATTTTTAAAAATTGCACAATTTCTAACTAAATTTGTAAATATATATTTAAAAATTGCAGGAAAAAAATGCTTTTTTTTCTTATAAATGCTTTTTTCTTATAAACGTTTTCTAGAAAATGTATTATATACTGCTGTTAAATATCATAACAAATAATTATTAATTATTAATTGGCTTAATGCATCATTTATAGAATTTAATATTACTTTTGTAGCATGTAATCATTCTTAATTGATTTTCTCTCGATTTTATTATGCATTATATTTCTCTTAGGTATTATGCAGTAGTGAAATATAATTAATCCGTACCAAAGTATTTTTGTCCAAAATGATTTGGTGCAACAGTATGGATCTCTGATGTTAGGATCTTCATCTGTAAAAGTAAGATAAGATAATTATTTATTAAAATAAAATATATATTATCAAGATTAAATTTAAAAAATGTTTAATTATCATCATGCAAATAAAATAAAATTTAATTATTATCATGCAAATTTGTGATAACAATTACCTTAGGAAAGGCAGTGACTAGAGATTTGGCCGCGATTGGTGTACAAAACAAATTTGACAGAATAATATTTTCTTCGAGCACATTATGCTCTTTCAGTACTGCTATAGCTTTTATGACAGTATTTCCTGTACCTATATGTGTATAATAAATATGTTACTAATGTTTTAATTTACAGTACTGCATATATGTTTCATTACAATATAAATATTTTTCAAGAACTTACTCATTATTGGATACATTAATAAGACCTTTCTTTCAGATATATCATCGGGGAATTTAGCATAAACTACTCTAGCTTCATGTGTGTCTGCATCACTTTCTACCAATATCTTACCAATCCTAATACTACGACAACAATCTCTTAGACCCTACAAGAACATTTATTCCATGATCATTTAGTGGCATATTTATACATAGAGATATCTTTTATAAATGTTTAGCATTAATTGTATCATACCTGTTCCATAGCCTCTCCACTTCTTACTATAGATACACCACAATTTCCCTTCTGATATTTTAAACCTTTATATTTGGCACCAGTTGGAGTTGTCACCACACATTTTGTAAAAGGTAATTGGTTCAAACTCTCTTCGATAACTAGCCTTATCTAAAATATTCAATAAATAATAGTTTTTTCTTTAAAATAAGCATAGAACTATCAAAGAACAATCAATATACTTTGTTTCTTGATATTTTTTAACTAGTTACTGGTTTAGATTGATAATCTTTTCTGAATTTTATGTAGTAGTATAGTGTTTAAAAAAACTATCACAATGTGTTACATATAAAATAAGTGTACAATATATATATCACACATACACATATATTATATTTATTTAGAGTCTAAACATAACAGAAATGCTTTCAATAATGTGCAATACAAATTATAAAGTCAAACATATCTTACCAAACGATCAGCATAAAACTTGAAATCGCTTCTTGAAGTATTCCTATAAAATTAGATCTATTAATAAGCGATTGGCTATCGCTTTCTAACTACAGAATCCACAGAATCAAGCATTTTTTAATTATACGTATCTATCCAAATGTATGCATGTACATGTATTTTTGTTAGTTAAATTTGGTTTGAAATATCCATCGATATGTTTTCCCATTAATAAAAAACTAGAGAACTGAAGAAAGAAAATGTATAATATATTTTCCAACTACAATTTAATACATACATACATACATTGTCAATCGAGAAATATAAAAATAGCAGTGTTATTACTTACTTATCCCGCAAAATGGTTTGCAACTCTTTCACTTGATTGTTGCAGGGTAGAATCTTCAGATTCATCCCGTACTCCTCGAGTTCGTAACTATCGTTCAACAATTTCGTCGCGGTGTCCGTGCTTCCCATGACAGATGCGTGCACACCACGTGTATGTAAGTGTCACTGTGACGTTCCGATAAAATTAACTGCAAATAATTATTCAGATAAGTGTCGCGCGATAGGTTACATTACTCGCGCGACTCGATAGTGAAAGACTTTTCACGAATTTGTATAAATATATGTATATACAGAGAAATATCGACCAATCACGTGTTTAATACAAAGGATGCCGAATTACTGAATTAGCATACTAAACATGATTGGTCGATCTCTCACGTACATCTGAAAATTTCAGATATTTTAAAGTACCTTGCGATCTGTCAAAAACAGCTGATTTCTTTCAATTATATTTTATACATATATGCATATACACTATACTTCTAATAAATAATATATGCTAAATTTTTTCTATTTAGAAGATAATCTAACCAAACTTTGAGGCGAACCTCGGTTGGCAGCTCTTATTCTCTATTATTATCGATAGTATCGATAGTATCGATACAGATCCATTTCGAGAATCGCAATTTCGTCTCGAACCCCTGCCAGTCGTGAAGGCGCCGAGGCAGCGATTTGAATCGCTCCGTATTTCTCGCGATCGGAGCCGCGTTAAAAGTGAATCTCGCGCGCTAAAAGTCGTCTCTCGCGAAAGTGTCGGACGTTTCTCGCGCGGGATCAATCGAGTACCGAGTGTCAGCGGCGTAATGCAGTAATATAGCGCATCGCGAGTTGGATGTGAACGGGAGCCGGTAGAATCCTTCCTCGCCATTACCGTTTTTTTCGCCAAGTGCAACGAAAATCGCAGTAAAAGTGAATCTCGCGCGCGAAAATCGTCTCTCCGCGAAATGTTGGGTATTTTGTCGCAAGGAATTAAATCGAGTGTCAGTGATATATAGTGCAACAGTGTATATAGTGCATCACGATTTGGATATACAATATATCATCGAGCACCGACAGGATTTTCCTTCCACCATCTTCTCGTCTTTTCCTCAAGTGCGAAAATTGATTCATCGATCGTCCTCGGTAAGTCCATGTAAATCATTTGATAATTAATTTCGCCTTGATATTATTTGCGTCATTATATTAGTAGGAAGAATATTTTCCAATAGTTGAATTTTACTCCATTTGCTCCATTGTGAGATAATATTCTTTATTGCATCTTTCTCACACATGTATATATAAAAGAGAAAGATAAGAGATAAAAGAGGAATAAGATTCTTGATTCGCGTGAGAACGAATTATTTCATAATTAATTTTGCCTTGATATTATTTGCATATCTGCGTCATTATATTTAATAGGAAGAATATTTTCGAATAGCGCCGAATTTTACTCTACTTATTGCTCCAGTTGCGAGATATCTTTATTAAGTCGGGATAAAAAAGAAACATAGGAAATAAAGAAGGAATAAGATCTTTGATTCATGTGAGAGCGAATTATTTCATAATTAATTTCGCCTTGATATTATTTGCATATCTGCGTCATCATATTAGAATATTTTTGAATGTTCCAATTGCCAAATAATATCTTTGCATCTCTCATATATTAATCAGGATAAAAGAGAAAGATAAGAGATAAAGAAAGGATAACATCCTTCGCGTGAGAACCATTTCATAATTAAGTCATAATCATTTCATAATTTCGCCTCGATATTATATCTGCGTTATTATATTAATAATACGAATATTTTCGAATGGTTGAATTTTACTCTACTTGCTCTAATTACAAGATATTTTGCATATCTCTCACATATATATTAATCGGGATAAATAGAGAAATAGGTAATTTACTCCTCCTTGGAATCGGTAATAAAAAAATTAAGAATTTGCTCTCTTTTTGAATAAACATTGAAATTTGTTTGCATATTTAAAATTAAAAAAAAAAATAATAAAATTAAAAAAATTAAATTTTTAAAAATCAAGAAAAAATTTAATTATGCCCCCTCCTGGAAAAAATCCTGCGGACATTCATGGATAAGAGACAAAGACACATATATTTTGTAAAAAGTTTTTTCTTTTATTTCGTAATTGATACTTTTCGGTGTGTGTGTTGTACCTGTATGTATGTATAAAACTACTTTCTAATATCGTGTGTGTTCTCTGTATGGTATAGTTATTTCTCTATGTCGACAACGAAATATTCTCAGCGTATATCCGGGGGAGAAAGGGGAGAGGAAGGCGTCTTCCTGTCTTTTTCCTTGCGGCTCAACCAGGTCAATATTAATGTCTAAAAATCATTTTAATTCCGAACGCGTTTCTTTTTTCACATAATCGCGGAATTGAGATCATCTCGCGCGTACATGTCTAGTGTGTGTATATATATATATATAAAATTTATATTTTATATCGTACGTACGAACGCTCGGGTTGATTAGTTTTTACAATTAAAATAATTTACAATTAAAAAAAGAAATACGCAATTTTCATGCAAGGACTGCTAAACTCTAGTTGATGGTGGATGGATAAAACTCTGTCGATATTTTTCATTTCCTATATATAAAATTTCTTGCGCTGTATATATTTAATAATAATTATATATATATATATATGTATATATATATATATGTATATATATTTATATATTAATAAAAAGAAATACTATACGTGTCGAGTATCCGCAATATTATCTCTAGGATACGGTCTGTTTAATATTACACTGCTGTTTGGCTCTTACGCCCGGTGTTTTTTTTCGTCGTTATACTTACAACCCTCTCTCTCTTACAACTGTATATATATTTATATATATATTCATATAATTGTCATTGCAGTCTGTCGTATTTAAGCTCTTTGAATATCGCATCATCCGATTCGTTTTGCACAGCTTCCTCCGAATATTGTCATGATTGGCAAGAAGTTTTTCCTCTTTTCTTTTTGTTAAATTTTTCCTAATATTATAATGCGAGAGCATCTACCATATTATCGAAAACGGAAGACTTTATCTCCATATTGAGTAGTATTTTGCGATTAAAAAAATGGACCGAGAATTTTGTTGGATTATTGTAGAATAAAATGTTTCTACAACTATAACTACGCTCGCACACGAAAAAGTTAAGCAAATTCTTTCATCGCGCACACACACACACACACACACACACACACACACACACACACACACACACACACACACACACACACGTACACACGCACAAATAAGGACAATTATCACTGAGCTACAGCAGAAGTATCTCATTAAAGTATGTAGAAATAGCTTTTATCAAACATAAACATAGAATAGTCATTTTTTAACAGGCAAATATTTATCTTCTTGTAATCCTACTTTCATACTATTACGCTTAAGTCGACTTTTATATGCTTTATTACAAGTATATTATCATATTTGTTACAAGTACACTATCATTTTTTGCATTCTCTCTTTTTTTTCTTCGCTTCCTTCTTTCACCATGCATTCTACGGACACATCCATACACCCACACACTTTCACACATACACACAAACACACAGACTCGTCACCACAAAATATGATTCTTTCTCTTTATATTTACAGCGTTACTTTCGTTGCGTTTCTAAAAGTATAATCAAACTTAACATTTGCTTCTCGTAATTCCTGTTAATAGCAATTCAATATTCACATTCAATACCTTTCAGCAAGTCGTCCAAATACTGGCTAATATTTTTGTTTTATTACCGCTAGTATTGTGTATAATAGTGTGTCTCTGATGGGATATATAGATTATTATAGCGATTTCAATGTTATAAATGTTTACAATGAATTTTTGAATTGAAAAAAAGATTAGTTTAATGATGTTATGCGAATGATATGTGTGCGCATAGACATTTGATAGGTCATTTCCTATTAAAGATGTGGGAAGACGGTTCTTATATAAAATTATCTTTATATTAAGTATTGCGCAAATTAGTAGTATTTTTAAGTGTTTTAAGGGATGTCCCTCGTGTTTTTCATAGAACATTGGCAACAATTACAAAGACTAAGCAACTGTAATACAAAAAAACAGTATGCAATATATATAGATATACATATATGAGACAATCTCATTAAAGTACCAACAACAGAGATCAATTTGTTTGTTTCGCATACAAGCATATTATAGCTGCATCTTTTCCAAGCAATATTTATATAGTATCTTTCTCTCTCTTTAAAATAAATGTTTTTATTCGTTAATTTATTATATAATAAAAGAATTGTGCTAGTTTACAGTCAATGCACTATATCTTTTCCTGCTATAGCACAGAGACATCTTATTATATTTAAAATTATATAAATTACAATATTGCTAACTCAGATTTAGCAAACTTCACAAATAAATAAAAATTTATTGATGATTATTTTTTCATTTGTCTATATGTCTATACTGTATACAACCAGTGTATATAAATTTCAAATTATAATTTCTCAAATATCAATATTGACTGATAACCTGCATCATATATTTGAGAATATCATATCGTAACAATAAAATAATCTTTTATATATGATTGGCAAATATATTAATTTTTTTAATTTTATAATTTTTCAAAATTTTGTTTTTTTTTTACTATCATAAACATTCTTCTTCACTACTAGTATAAAATTTAAATTAGTATAAAATTTGAATAAATTCTTAATAAAAATTTATCAATATATTTGAAAAAAACCAATCTTAAAATTATAATTATGTAATTATGTAATCATGCAAGAAACGCTATATAATATAAATATATAATATAGATATATAAACACATATATATACGTATACATATAATATGTATATAAACACACATATATATACGTATATAACATATACAGGGTAGGCCATTTTAATCTTTCCACTAAAATTTCTCAAAATCCAAAAATTTAAGACAAAAATGTTTCAGATAAAAGTTGTATGGTTTCAAGGGGGACATGAGATGGTGTCATTGATTTGACCTTGAATAGCCATTTGAAGGTTACGTGAAGGTCAACTTCAATTTCTTAAATGGAACACTATATTTTTTCTTGCATACTTTTGTAGCTGACTTCGAGATCTTTCCAAAACACTACAATAAAATATTTTTTCATGAAGTATTTTTCGAGTTATTAAGGCTGCAAATTTGCAGTATTTTGACATAAAATACAAAATATCTTGGGAAATATTCATTTTTCGATTATCATACCTTAATACTTTTATGCACAGAATAATGAGATAAATCAATTGGTGTAAAGAAAACACATAGTTGTCTTAAAGAAAAATTATCTAACTGCTTATTGCAATTTTCATATTTTTTTTTAAAGGTAACTATGTGTTTTCTTTACATCAACTGATTTATCTCATTATTCTGTGCATAAAAGTATTAAGGTATGATAATCGAAAAATGAATATTTCCCAAGATATTTTGTATTTTATGTCAAAATACTGCAAATTTGCAGCCTTAATAACTCGAAAAATACTTCATGAAAAATATTTTATTGTAGTGTTTTGGAAAGATCTCGAAGTCAGCTACAAAAGTATGCAAGAAAAAATATAGTGTTCCATTTAAGAAATTGAAGTTGACCTTTACGTAACCTTCAAATGGCTATTCAAGGTCAAATCAATGACACCATCTCATGTCCCCCTTGAAACCATACAACTTTTATCTGAAACATTTTTGTCTTAAATTTTTGGATTTTGAGAAATTTTAGTGGAAAGATTAAAATGGCCTATCCTGTATAATCTAATTTACAAATTTTTTTACACAAATAAAACAGAAAAGCAATATTAGCCAATTACTTTTTAAGAGAGAAAAAAACATTTAAAGAAAAGATAGCAGCTATATTCAAGCTTGATATTATCTCTCTGAAATTTTTGTGATACTTATGCCCATTGGAAAAACTTTTGTTTTTCTTTTGGCAAGCTGTTAAAATATATAAAGAGAATAAAAAATGTATTTTGTGTGATCGATAAAAACCACATACTCCATGGACGATATATATATATATATATATGTATATACTAAGCATATCAACTAATTATTCCATGATTAATTGCTCTATAAGTAGATAATTGGTCGACTGATGTGTGTTGAGTTTTTTTTAAGTACACTTTCATAACCGGGATATATAAGGCATGGCTATGCTCTGTTCTTAAGTAAGCGCAGAACAATACGCAATACTGGTGTTGTGCTCTATTATAATCGTTAATTACAGAGGTCAACTTTGTTTAGATTTTCGCGTTTGTTATTACAAAGAGCTCGCGCTCAAATAGGTTACATCCATATCTAAGAGAATTTAGCATTTTAATGCCATTTTATACCATTTCACATATTTATACAACACGCTTATCATTGTAAAAGTAAATGCTCTGCATGTCTCCGTGTCAATTATACTTTCAGTCTCATTAGCATCTACATGCACACTGAATATGAATTCAGTGTACCGTAGGCCGCTTCGAAATTCGTTTATTTCGATAGAACACGAACACGCGCGACCTATATGGAAGCATTCCGGTGTAAAATAGAAAGTTCCTCTCATCTTTATGATTAATGCAACCTAATTATGAAGAATGCAATCCCCTCACCAAGTACTAATGTAACTCACTATAGATCTTACATCTGCCGTTTTTCGTTTCTCTAATCTTTCTTACATTTTGTGATTATCTATTATATCCGATTCCCTAAGCTTATGGACCCTATAAGCGTGGAATCTGAAAAAAGAGATTTAATTATATAGTACATGTACTAACATTATTTTTTTTTTAAATATTACAATGATTTTAATTAAGGTAACTATACACATCTTCTTGCATATTTTGTTTCACTTATCATTGAACTTACGGCTTGGTTTATACTAATGCTGATAATTCAGTGATCCCCTCTCAACAATTCCATTAAAAGGTTAAAGGAGCTGCCTTCTCCCTCGGCACGTTTTGCACTGAGCAATTCTTTTCCTGCTTGACACGTTCTTTGTAGATCTGGAATTCTCAATAATAGTTCACCGAATTTGGCAGGCATTTCTGGATACCTCGCGATTGTATATTGCTGCAATGCGTGAAGGGCTTTTTCCTGAGAAGCTCTGACCTTTTCGGGTTCCTTTAATTCGCTTATGTCGGACGTTAAGAGCACGATCACCTGTTTATGAAAAGAAATAAAAGATAAAATAAAATATCACTTTTAGTGTCGTCGTAGATAAAGAATCAGTTGGATAGATTGTATTTGTTTTATATAAAGTTTGGACTGTATTTTTCATTCTTTTTTTGAGAGCACATCTAATGCAATTATTTGAATTATATTTAATGTAAAAAATGTATTTAATATAAGAATAACGTTCAATATAAAGAAACGAATGACAATTATGTATTAAATGTTGAATATGCCGTGAGATCAGGATTCTTAATCACGAGAGCAATAATTACCTTCATTGCAACATATTCGTATTGGTCTACTCTCAGCCTTCGTAGATTGTTGGTAAAAGCGAGCATCCTCTCGATGCAAGTCGCTAAACCAAGCTCTCTAGCTTGTTCCAAAGTGATCGACTTGCCGAGAGACACTCTGATCTCACCGGGAGTGCTCATGCTGCGAAAGCAGCAGGAGAAGAGTAGCAGCTCGCACCAAGAGTTGATCAACAAACAGATTTGGTCGTCGATCGAGATATTCTTGAATAACGGCAGACTCTTGCACCACTTGACGATCTTATAGAGCCGATGGTCCGCGATGTTGCACAGATTAGACAGAAAGTCCGGATGTTGCGTCGGATTGCCATTATTGGAATTACTGGCGATTTGAGAATTGCTATTATTCACGGTATTGCCGTTCGTGGAATGTTGATCGGGTGCCCCTGTGGAAGTCGAGCCGGTGGGGCTACCCGACTCTCCTCCTCCTCCACCTCCACCTCCTCTGTTGTTTGTTGTATCGACGTTGCTCGAATCGTTCGACGAACATTCCACCGCGCCTACGTTATTTCCGGCGCCAATAACACTCGCGGTTCCGCTGCCGAGTGTCGACGGGCCGCTTCCTCCGAATCCGCCGAGCAACATGTTGTTGCCGTCGCCGCCGACGGAGATGTTCCTCGTATTCCCAGAAATTCCCCCGCTCACCCGATCGTTGTCGTTGTAATGCCAGAGATGCTCCACGTCCATAATGTCTTGCAAGAGTTGCGGCACCTGCATCTTGTGAGAATGATTCGAGTGATATCTGACCGAGTAATGGTGCTCGCTTCCGGCCGGTGCCGGACTACAATTTCCGGCCGCCGTCAGTTTTTCGTTGCCGGCCATACCGCCGGCGGGACTACCGACGAGATTCGCCGGGAGAGTATAGGTGCACTGATACGTGCTCCTGCCACCCCTGGTACGATCCTCCCTGATCGCCTCGAGCTTCATACCCATGTTCAGGCACTTTTCGAAGCGGCAGGCCGGGCATTTCTTCCTCGTGGCCACGGTGACCGGACAGCCTGCGCCTCTAAGGCACACATAGTTCTTCCGATTTTGCACGGTACGCTTGAAGAAGCCCTTGCATGACTCGCACGAGAAGATGCCGTAATGAAATCCGCTTATCTTGTCACCGCAAATCGGACAGGGGCTGTTTATCAGTTGCTGTCTGGTGGAAATACCCGACGGGGCCGAGGGTACTCTACAGTCTTCCTGATCCTCCGCGACCGAATGACCGTCCGGGGACAGTTCCGCACCTGGCACGGAAGAGGACGAGTAATGATGCGCGGCGACAGCGGACGAGGCTGCCGGAAGATGCAACGGACTACTTTGCGCCACCTGATGCTGGTGATGCTGCGAGTGCGAATGCGGATGTCTCGGTTGCTGGACGGGTGAATGCGTAGGCGGGCTAAGCGAGCCGTAGCTGTAGCAGCTACTGGAAGCGTCCGAGTTGTTTCTCGAAAGCGAATGCGACAGCGACAAGGATAATGAAGAGGTCGAATTGTTGAAGCTATGCCGAGAGAGGGATAACGACGAGGACGGTATCGGACTTCCAGCACCTAGGGCGGAGTGTCGTGCTGCGTGAGGACTTTGCGTCGGTGAACTGAAGACGCTGTATGCGGAATGAATGGCGGAATCTGGTGACGGTACCTACAAGAGTTCGAGAAAATGTTTATATAGAAAATATAGAAAATAAAACACGACAACGCGACAGAGTGACATGTTAGTATGACATCACTATTTTGTTCATTCTTATAGCTCACCTGCGATCTAGTATGACTGTGCTTGGTTAGATGATGTCGCGGATTGAGAATAGGACTGTGATTAGGCGTGGAATTGTTGTATCCGCCGAGAAGCTTGCCTACGAGAAGCGGCAGGTCGCTTTGTTGAGTCTGCTCTAGATTTTCAATACCGCGTTGTTGCTGTTGCTGTTGTTGCAATTGTTGGTTGTGTGTCATAGGCAATCCAGCGTCGTGAAAGGATCCTATTGTGAAAGCCGGACTAGATCGAAAATCTGGCTCTGATTTAATTGGAAATTTCTGTTCCATAGGTCCAGGACTCGTACTGCACACCTGAACTCCTTCCATAGACGTTTCCTCATTATGGTCCTAATAGCCAATAATTCATTACATTATTAAAAATTATATTAAAATTTTAATCTTATATATCTTAAATAATTTCATCTTTTCAATTAAATTGATCATTTCATACACTGAAAAAAATTTATTGAATTCGAATAAATATTTATTTCAATACTGCCTTAATCATTTATTTAAAACTAATAATATTGAGTTGATGTGAAAAAATATTTATTTAATATAAGAAAATTCTTTTCAAAACAGATAAATTTGCTTCACATAAAGAATATAATTTTTTTCAGTGTATAAATTATAAAATAAATCGTGAGCTAAAAATTATTTTACTATATATTAGGCATGTCAAATAATAACTTCATCGTCTTCGCGAGGAGATGATTCTATTTCTTCTACAGAAATTTTGGAGAACGTGTGACAGTGACTTTTCGTCGATGACTATAGAATATAACAAATCGAACCTGATTAGTAATTGTATTGGAAGACATTTCTTGGTCCGAGAGTTCTCCCTCCCACGACATCGGTCTCTCGGGCTGCTGCTGCGAATTATCGTCGCAGCATCCCGCGCCGTCGCCATTCGCGTCCCCGTCGCTGATCTTGTCGCCGTTCTGATTACCCGATACGTCGCGTTTCTTCTTCGAGCGCAAATTCACGCCCCGAAAGTCAATCTTGCTGATCTCGCCGTCGCTGTCCTCGGGATCGTCGACGTCGGCCGCGTTCGCGGCGAGGATACCGCCGATTCCGATGCCGATACTATGCGGCGGCCCCGCATTCGTGCAGATTCCGCTCGTCGGGACCGCGGAATTTCCGCATCCCAGCACCGAGGTCGAGACCACCGACACCGTCACTCCATTCTGTCCCCCGAGATATTTACACACTCCTTTACCTAAAAGAAATTATATTATATATAGCTGTTAAAATTCGCGGAATGGAAGTTGATATACATATATTTATTTCTATAATATGATAATAATAATTTATCTTGTAATATTAAATATTTTATTTATCTTTTTATTATATTTTATATTAGTTTTTGTTATATATAATGTAATAAAAATTTTACTAAAAGGTTACAAATTTGAGATATTATTTGGGATTATTCGGTATCGTATTAAATGAATTCTATCGAGATAAGTAGACGATAATTACCATCGTGCATCTCTTGATTGGGCGGTACGTTAATAGTAGTGACGGACACGTTTTTCCCGTCTCCGTGGAACGACTCGGACTCATCGATACACCGATGTAGGACAGGGGGCAACAGGTCGTGTTGGTCGAGGTGGAGGAGCTCGTCGGGGACGAGCTGGAGCTCGTGGCGCAGGAAACGGAAACTGACGCGGGACCCGCTGCCGCGGAAGTGGAAGTTGACGATGAGGAGGCCGTCGTCGCCGTCGCGACCGACGACGATAACGTCGATGATTTCCAGGTCTGCGTGGCCGACCACCAGCCTGAATCCGTACCGGGCCCTGGTCCTGGGCCCTCGCTGGGCCCGTTTTGCTCCGACATTCTCAGCTGATTACGCTGCTGCAGGCAGCTCGTAATACGACTCGCGGCCTCTCGATCTCCGCGAAAGCGTACAGCATCCTTACGGAATCTCTTATTGTCGCCTCTGTCAATTATCGGGAGCTACGTAGACTCAGAGATGCGCACTATGTCGACGTCTATTATCGTTTCAAGTTCTTTTATATCTGAAAAAAAAGAAAAAGGATTAATTTGTCTTTATCTAATTTTATGGAATTTCTTTATCAAACACACACACAAACACATACATATATACGTTAATATTATTTGCACACGATGAAAGAATTTGTATAAAGAATTTGCAAAAATAGTATTGGATGACTGGGTACAAGGAAAATGTATTCGATTGATATATATTGAAAATGATATAGAAAACTAAGGGAAAAAAAGAAGCACTTGGGATGCAATCGAATTCATTATAAGTAAAATTAATAAAACGTATTATATTTTGCGCACCTTAATTATTCCAATATGGTAAAATTATTATTCCAATATGCTAAAATTATTATTTTATTAATCTCGCGTGACATTCGATCTGTAATCTAGGATGATTGACCATTTTCAAATCTGTCTTTTCTTTTTTTACATTGTAAAATTTATATAATTGAAAAATATCGCGGTGAAAATTTAATTTCAAATGTAATGTAATTACAGAATCCGCAGGATGTACTTTCTAAACCACAGTTTATGCAACACGATGCGGTTTCGCTAGAAAGTAGCGCGCTATTTTGGCTCCTTCCTTCGGTTCAAGAGAATGACTAACAGTATACATATCTTCTCGCGCACGAAATCGTTCGCCGAAAATCTAGCTGGGCGATTAGAAGCCATCTCGCGAGCGCTGACACACAGTCTCTTTCTCTCTCTTTCTCTCTTTTGCAAGGTTACGTCGATGGCCGTGCCGCAAGGCCGGCCCACTTCCGGTCCCGCAGAACCGCCGAACGACCTTCGCGCGGAAACGCACGCGTTCACTCACGCCCGCGCGTGCGAAACGAATCTTCACGACCGATCGCGCGAAAAAAGCGACACGTTATTAAAAAAAAATTTTAGGCATCCGCAGGAGGGGCAAGAGAAGATATTTGTCCCCTCTGGACCCTGGAATCAGCAAAAAATTAAGCATTTACTCTAGCTCTGAATAAACATTGGAATTACTTGCACATTTAATATAAAAAAATAATTTAAAATATTTTTAATTTAAAGAAAATTAAAAGAGCAAAAAAAAAAAATAATTTAATTATATATGCCCCATGCTTTGGAAAAAAACTCTACGGGCGCTCATGATTGATGATATGATGCTACACACACGAAGAGAATTTTCTCTTAGAATTTATTCTGAAAATCATGATAATCGTGAGGCAATGGCAATATAGTATTTATAAGTTTTTTCTGATTAATATTTACCACAACAAATATTAATATGTACATAGATAGTAAATTTTACTATGTATAGATAGTAAAACTAAACATATTTTACAGTTTATTCTGGCAGATATGAATATTTTTCATTGTGGAAAATCTTAATCAAAGAAAAACATTTATAAAATTCTTGATTTTCATGGTAAATTTTAAGAGAAAATTTTCTCTGTTCACAAATATGTGATTCGAATAGGAATTGTTGTTAAGTTCGCTATCGGTCCATTTTCACGCTATGAATGTATTGCAAAATCTATTCATTTAGCACGCTCTGAAGCGTAAACCGCATGGATAATTAAAATATCTTACGCGACTCGTGTAAGGGAACCCACATGTATTGACGATTAACACGTAGCGAGAAAATCGTTGATGTGTCCTCGAAAGAAGTAATCCAGTTCTCACCTGTTGCGCGATTTTGCTTTCTACTCTGTGTGTGTCTATTATTAATACGAGAACTTGATAAAGCGAAGAAGTCGAGAGTACTTTAATCAAATATTATTTTCGATCTTGTTTAATTCGTAATATTTATCTTATCAAAATTTTGGGAATTTTAAATCTTAAAATGTCTATTTAAAATTAATCTATCAAACATTACAATTTTTACATTGTACAGAAAAAATAACAAAATTATCTAATAAAATTATGTAAACATATGAATACGATTTATGACTTCAAGAATGACGAGTCATCTTTTCAAAGAAATTTTCTTCGCCACGCGATACATACGTGATTTTTTTTATTCAAATCTCTATCGGGAGATGATTCTTATATAATCTCCTTTCATTTCCAGTCACACAAAAGAGATATACAAAATAAAATACGTGAAAGGGGTACCGTGGCTCGTCGTTTAATAATTTTCCATATTCTATCCACATGATTATACACGGTAGTTTGGGCGAGCGTGTAGCTTAGCTCGATAATTATTGTTCTATCAATATCACGAATCGGGAGAGGATCGTTAAGATGGAATAGTTATTTGGTGTTATAATTATATTGTCTTTCACTGCGTTTATTCGGATTATATCAAATACAGACTTTAACTCTCCACCGAGGAAAACCGTGTATCGCGAGCGCGAGTCAAAATCTATCTGCCCTTCGAGGCCGCGCATTGTCTTCTTTCTCTCGATTTTTCCACAACCTTATTTTTATTTTTAGGTGATTAGCCTATGTATTATTTTGAAGACTTTTGCTTTTTATTCTGTTCGGAAATCACAATCTACCTTCGTCATGCTAGACGCTTATTTATTTATTTATTATTTTGTGTCACCGGTCGCGATATCCTTAACACTCGTCGCTTGTCATATATTTTTATTTCGTGTAAATTTTATATTATATGTACTTTAATATGTTTGTGGCATTTATCGCCACAGTAGCTCCAGGGTGTCTAGCGATCAGGGAAATGTGGAAAACCGAGTATTGTCAGGGAATTTTATAAATCTGGAATTGTCAGGAAATTTTACCATTTATCTGGATCTTTTCACATTATTCTACACCTGTCTCAATAATTTGAAATTTTTTATTAAATAAATATAACTTTTCCTTGACTCCCACGCTAATTTTCTGTGTTGTTAAAAATCGATTCATATCTACAGCGTATTCGTTAATATATATTTCCATCGTCGTGTTATTTTATTTTAATGTATTACATATTTCAAAAAGATTATAACATTGCTCAAGAATTATAATATTGTTTAAGAGAACTTTATTTTAATTCATTTTTCACTAAAAATTAATACATTAATTTTATTAAAAATGTTTTATTTAAAATAAATATCTCAAGGTTTACAAATCATAAACATTTAATTGATTTATCATATAGATATATGCAAATTATGTTTGGAAAAAATGATACTAAAAAGTCAGAGAAAAAAATGAATTTCTGGGTCTTGGAAAATCTGAAAAGGTGAGGGAATTTTTTTTCATCGAGTCTGCTGGACACCCTGAACTCGCGTGCAGCGATCGAGGGACTATGCGCAAAAACGTTACACTCGGTAACCGTACTCTCGTCGGAGCTCGTCGTGCGAATCTCACGTTGGACTAGTTACTTATCGCGAAGTTTCAAGAACGCGAAACCGACGCTACGTTAAACGTTATATATAGTTACGAATCGGGCCAGAAGACGATGAGGTCGGGCGAGACCAGGAGCGGTCGAGCATGTCGTGCGGAGATCGTGTCCTGGCACTCGCCGCGTACAACACGCAGGTAGCCCTCTCGAGTGCAGGCAGGCAGGTCGCATACCGCACTCCCAGGAGCTTACGGCCTACGTTTTCGGAAACGAGCGTACACGAGCCTCTCCAGAGAGAGAGAGAGAACAGGGAGGAAATCTCTCTCTTTCTCTCTCTCCTTCATCTTTTCTCTTACGGAGCGTGACACACGAAAAGAAGCGATTGTGATCGCGATACACTCTCCGCGTGTACACGCATATACGGCGTCGATCGTGTGCGTGTGTACGGGTCTTTCTTCTCCGAGAGTATATAGTATAGTCTCTCTTTATCTCTCTCTAGAGAGAGAAAGAGAAGCCGAGCGTGGCGCGCGCGCGATAGTTACGACGTCGGGCTTCGACAACGTCGGCGGTAAGTTCAAGGCCCTCCACGACCGCCCTACCCGACTCCTATGCACCTTCGGGGTCACGTGACGCGGCTCAAGGTCTTCTCTCCCTACTCCGGGATCGTCGCGGTCGCGCCGCGGCGAGTCGGTCCCTATATCGTTGCACATCGTGCCGCTCGTAACGCTATTGCGTTCCTCTCCGAGAATCGGAACCACCATCGTCGTCGTCGTCATCATAGTCGAGCAAGCGACCAAGGCGGCGGCGGTTAGCCGTGGGTGACGACAAACGATGACTACGACGATGGAATCTCGTGCCATCTCTCCTTCGCCTTCCTCCTTCTCTTCTTTTAGTCCGCGTTCCTCTTTCTCCTTCTTATTCTTGTGCATCGAGATACGGACTCGGGTCAGTGACATCGCGTAAGGACGGTCGGAGGAAGCGTCGGCTTCTCTCTCGAGCCAAGAAAAAAAAACGCTGCCGGGTCTCCACTCCGCCGCTACTTCGACAGGTAGGCACGACCGCTATCGCGGTCGTGCGAGAGAGCCCGGACAGGGCCCACCTCTCTCTCTCTCGATGTGTCCTTTGTGTCCTTTACGCGTTATACTCTCTGTCGTTAGGCTTGTTTGTTACCGTTTGTCACCGGGATAATAGGGAAAAAAACACGAGTATATACGCAACTGACGCGTGAGAGACGATGTAACGTATAGCGGTAATGTAACATTGTAATCGCCCCTGCGAAGATATGTCTTTGTTTGTCTATTTTGACGGTAAGAAGAAGTACATTTCTGCGGAAATTTACTCGTTCGCGGAAAAAAATAATTCGGCGCCTTTAAAGTTTTAGCTGTTTCTATATTACACTTGAAATTTATTATCCTAAAAATCATGGTAATCTACCATATCTATATCGCAATAAGATATAAAATATGTTCGATTAATTTTACCATGTACATATTAATATTTTTTGTGATGAATATTGATCAGAAAACTTATAAAATTCTTCCAATACCATATAGGTATTGCCCCACAATTACTGTGATTTTCAAGGTAAATTTTAAGAGAAAGTTCTCTTTGTGTAGTTATCATGCCTAAATTTTTTAACGGAGAATATTCTTCGTTAAATTATAGCTAAAAATTAGTAGATTAGCTATATATCATAGTTAAAATTTAGGCATAATATTTATTTTGCGATGAAAAATAATATAAATTGAATAA